CAGTTTGGACAGGGATCCTGGAGGTTCTTTGCCCTCTTCTGGGCATGGAGCAGGGGTCATTTCGTAGAAAAAGCGGTGCAGGAGCTCATTATCATAACTCATTTGCATATGCCACACCCCCTGACATCACCAGAAGTGTGTCAGAAGGCAGCACCCACTGCTCAGGGGCCACTGGACTGTTTTGGATCGCTAGCTATTGGGGGGGGGGGAACGTGCAGATCTGTCCTCGCAGAGGAGGGAGAGCTTGTACCTGAATAAAACTTGGTCTTAAAGGTGCCACTGGACTGTTTTGGGGCCGGGGGGGGGGAGCTCTGCAGCTTACCTGGCTGCTTCTTGCTCTGACTGAGGGCTGCTGGGAGCAGGGGGCGGGGCTTGTTGCATGTGCCCGCCCCCTGGGCTCTTTACTGCCAGAGCTCTGCTCCTGTGCGCTCCCACAGGAAATGACCCCTGGGGGTCATTCCCTGCATCACGCGGGGGGGTGGTGGACTAGATAACCCTGGAGTCCCTTTGCAACTCCTATGATTCTGTGCTTCCCAGGCCGTCATGCGTCGCTGGCTTCCCGCTGGAGACGCTTTACTTCAGATGATCACCATCCACCTGCCTTCCCCAGTTACGGCACAGAAATACCGCTGTGAACTTCTGTACGAGGGGCCTCCCGACGACGAGGCCGCCATGGGTAAGAGAAGAAAATTAAGCAGAACTGGGACCCACCCTGGAAACCCCACTGAACTCTCCTACTTTAGGCCTTCTGAGCCTTCCCCCCAAATTCTCCTCATACGCGTACACAAGGGTCATCAAATTGCCCCCGACTTACGGCATCCCCAGCCAGGGGCTTTCATGGCAGCTGAGAAGCAGAGGTGGTCTGCCATGGCCTTCCTCTACAGAGCCTTCCTTGGTGGCCTCCCATCCAAGTACCGACCCTGCTTAGCTTAGACTTATGGCAACCCCAGCCGGGGGCTTTCAAGGCAAGGGAGAAGCAGAGGTGGTCTGCCATGGCCTTCCTCCGCAGAGTCTTCCTCGGCGGCCTCCCATCCAAGTACCCACCCTGCTGAGCTTCCAAGTTCTGGTGAGATGGGCCAGAATTTGCCAATCCAGACGGTACCTCCCAAATCGCTCTTAAAGGTAAAGGTTCCCTTGCTCGAAAGCCAGTCGAATCCGACTCCAGGGTTGGGGTGCTCATCTCCGTTTCAAAGCCGAAGAGCCAGCGCTGTCCGAAGACGTTTCCGTGGTCATGTGGCCGGCATGACTAAACACCAAGGCGCACGGAACGCTGTTACCTTCCTACCGAAGTGGTACCTATTTATCTACTTGCAATTTCTTGCTTTCGAACTGCTAGGTTGGCAGGAGCGGGAACTAGAGATGGGAGCTCACTCCGTCATGCGGCACCCAGGTCTTGAACTGCTGAACTACCGACCTTCCACAGCCTGCAGTTCAGCGTCTTAACCACTTGAGCCACCGCAGCTTAGGCAGATTGAATTTGTGTTTGTGTCCCGCACGCCGGCTGCCTCCTTGCCAAAGACGTTATCACATGTTTATCCTGCCCAGGCCTCCAAGGAGCTCAGGGCAGCATAGGAGGCTCTCCCCGCCTCTGTTTTATTCTCACAGCCAGCCCACGAAGTGGATTCGGCTGAGAGAAAGCGAGTAACAAGCCTAAGGCTGCCCAGTTCACTTCACGGCAGAGGGGATTTGAACCCCAGACTCTCGGATCGCGATATGACACTTTTACCACTGCACCACACTTGAGCTTTCTTTTAATAAGGAGACAAGAGTCCAGGAGCACCTGAAAGGCTAACAAAATTTGTGGCAGGGTGAGGAGTTCTCCCAAGTCCATGCTCGCTTCCGTGGATCTTGACCTTTTAAACGAGTGGATCCGGACAGTGGGCAGAGCGCAGTAAGCCGAAAGGTCCTTCAGTCTGAGATCCATATAAGCGGGTACCGAAGAAGCACGTTTTTCTGTTTCGTTCCTGCATTTAACCACACCTGGCTTTTGACCTGGCAGTCTCCTTCCACCCAGTTGGTGGATGATATCTGCCCCCATGTAATACTTCATTTAGGTTAAAAGGAAGTTGGTGCTTTTGGGGGGGGGGGCAACAGTGGGAGGGCTTCTAGTGTCCTGGCCCCACTGCTGGACCTCCTGATGGCACCTGGTATTTCTGGCCACTGTGTGACACAGAATGTTGGACTGGATGGGCCATTGGCCTGATCCAAAATTGGCGTCTCTTATGTTCTTATATGGAGCAGAGGTCCATCAGTGGCTGTTAGCCACAAGGTGTAGATAGGAACTCCCAGTCTGGGGCAAGGGATGCTCTGTATTCTTGGTGCTTGGGGGGGGGGGGGGAGCAGGGGGGGGGGTTTGGGTGTCGCTGGACCTCCTGATGGCACCTGGTATTTCTGGCCACTGTGTGACAGAGTGTTGGATTAGATGGGCCATTGGCCTGATCCAACATTGGCGTCTCTTCTGTTCTTATGTTCTTATGATGGTCAGTATTGTCTATGTAGACTGGTAGTGGCTCTCCAGGGTCTCAGGCAGAGGTCTTCCACATCACCTACTGCCAGGTCCTTTTAACTGGAGATGCTGGGGATTGAACCTGGGACCTTCTGCATGGCAGGCAGAGGCTCTACCACTGAGCTATGGCCTCTCTCCTTAAACTCTTAACCTCTGTTAAAAGGCAGTTAATCTAACTGTTCTGTAACTGCTTCAATTAACTGTCCAAGATCAAAGTAATTTTAAGCAGAGTTCACTGGCTATTGTAAAGTGCCTGAACTCTTGGTTAACTTGAAAATTCTGCAAAGAAAAAAGAAAGTTTTGAGTCCAGTGGTACCTTTAAGACCCATCTGTGCCGACTTCTTGTTTCCCTGCAGGCGTTAAGAACTGCGACCCCAAGGGCCCTCTGATGATGTACATCTCCAAAATGGTGCCCACGTCCGACAAAGGCCGTTTCTACGCCTTCGGGCGAGTCTTCTCCGGCATCGTCTCCACCGGCCAGAAGGTGCGCATCATGGGCCCAAACTACACCCCAGGAAAGAAGGAAGATCTCTACCTGAAGCCCATTCAGAGGTAGTTGGCGAGTTCGCTTCTTTGGAAGATGAGTGCATGCAAACGATTCATACCGTTACGAAACTCCCTTTTGTTTTGCTGGGGGGGGAAGCCGATTGGAGGAGACGCTGTCTCTTGCTGTTGTGTTGTTGTTTTTTAACGAGACCCTGCCCCGCTCTTTTTTGGGGGAGGCAGAGCCATCAGAAAATTAGTAACCAGAAGGTCCGGGAGATAACTTGAGAAACATCTTTTATGTTAAAGAGGTTAATTAAAAAAAAAAAGCTACTTCGGATGCTAAAGAGAACAGATGTTCAAGGACTGTTACCCATCCTCTGTCTTTGTAGAACCATTTTGATGATGGGTCGTTATGTTGAGCCCATTGAGGATGTCCCTTGTGGCAACATTGTTGGCCTAGTTGGTGTTGACCAGTTTTTGGTGAAGACGGGCACCATTACCACCTTTGAACACGCCCACAACATGAGAGTGATGAAATTTAGTGTTAGCCCCGTGGTGCGTGTGGCAGTGGAAGCCAAAAACCCCGCCGACCTACCCAAGCTAGTGGAAGGTCTAAAGCGTCTCGCCAAGTCTGACCCTATGGTCCAGGTGAGTGGTCAGTTGTACCTTTGTGACTTGAGAGTGGTTGGTTTGCAGTGGCGCTTCTGCCCGGAAGGGAGGGCTCCGCGTCGTCCCTGCGGCTAACCGCGCTTGCCCGCATGCCTTGTAGCTGACGTGGATCTAAGCTTCTGTAGGATTTGGTTAGAGACGGAAACCCCCTTGAAACCCATAGTGAATTTTTATTAGTCGATGGGTGCCCCTTTGTGCATGTCGGGCCGGGATCCAAGGCTTGGGTCTTGCAGAAGGTTTCCGTTAACGGGAGGCGTTTCTTGGCCCTTCCCGCCTCCCGCTACGGCCGGAAATCTCCCCCCGAGAGTATTTATTTTATTCACTTACCAAATGTATATCTCGCCTTTCTGCCCTTTGCAGAGGCCACCAAGACAGCTAACGGTTTAAAACGCACGTGAGAAAATACATCATAAAGCCGTTAAACCAAACCCTTCTCCTAAGCATTCCGGCTAATGGTTTTAAAACGCACATGAGAAAATGCATTATAAAGCCGTTAAAACAAACCCTTCTCCCAAACATTCCTTATTAAAGCCTTATCAAGCCTTGGTGAGGAAGGAGGGATCGCTTACCAAATGTATATCTCTCCTTTCTGCCCTTTGCAGAGGCCACCAAGGTGGTTAACGGCTTAAAACGCACGTGAGAAAATGCATTATGAAACCTTTTCCCCAAACATTCCTTATTAAAACAACTTTTAAGATACATACAAAATATCAAGCCTCGGGTGTGGAAGGAGGGGTCACTGAGGGAGTGATCAACGAAATGCTGCTCCTGAGGGGACGGGGGACCCTCCCTTAGCACTGCACGATGTGGGGCGGGGAATCTGTGGGTTCACCGAAATTCTCCATGGGGGGTCCTCAAGATCTCGCATATCCACACCCAGCATTTTGGAAGAGCAAATCTGTCCCTCTTTATTTTTGTGTATTGACTGGAAAGGGGGGGGGGGAAACCGATTGCCAGGGAGCTCAGGAGTAAAGACGGCATGCCGAAAGCCACCCCGAGCAACAGAACAGTGCCAAAAGCCAAATTGCAGCAGGGGCAATTTACTGCCAAATCACTCCCATCTCTGGCTTGCTCCAGAGTAAATTAATTCAT